TTGGTATATTTTGAACACACACCCTTTTGCATAGGTCCAGTCCCTGTCCCTTTGTACCTGCTAACCATACGGATTTCTCTTTACTCTCTGTTTCATTACCTCTGTTTCTCTCAACTCTTGTCTATCGTCTCTGTGATCGTCTATACGACCCAATACACGCTTTTACTTTACGTCTAAGCAATCCGAGTGAGTTCCCGAGCTCCCTCGAACAATACTAAAGCTCCCCAACGCCTATCGCCTTGGTGAGCTAACCTCCCCAAACCTCCTCGAGCTCCCTAGCTATTCTATAGGCTTCAGGACCTCAATCTAGGTAACGTCGAAGCTACCCCTCACGTCGGACTACGTACTGCTTCTCCGTTACCACCTCCCACACTCGAGGACGTCCATCCTCAAGCCTAGCCCCCAGGGACCTACCCTTCCTGGCACATCCCTTCTCGGGAGCTTACCACCTCGAGACCCATCTATACATACGACCTACTCGATCCTATATTGACGTTCTAGCGAGTACAACTCCTACTACGCAATATAGTACGGTCCCGCACTCTTCCTTAACCTCCCTGCGCCTTAGGGACCTCCCTGGACCTCCTAGGAATCCCTCAAGGGTCACCATCCCATCGTTCCAGCCACTACTAGGTCATTCCCGTCCTCGGTCGCGGTTCCCGTAGCTCCCTTCGAGCTCCAGCCTGCTCCTAGCACGCTACAACATAAACCTCCACATACCAAAACCTACCCTAAGACCTATTTTGACCCAGGTCTTACAGAAATACAAGCTGCGTACTGGCTGTCCCACCGAAGAAGCGTCAAACCAGACAGTGAGCTCAGAGTTTCGAGGTTTTTCCAGACTCTTTGGAGCCCAGGTGATAGCTTCTTGCGAGGGTTAGCGTTCCAGCCGCTCGATGAAACAGGGAGAGTAGAAGCATCAAAGTTCTCGAGCTGGATGGGTGTAGCTCCTTTGGCTAGCTCGACGACGAAGGGCTTTACGCCCTTGCTAGCGCCGCGTCCAGCAGCTTCAGCAGCCCGTTTTGCGCGCGATCTTTCCGTAAGCTTTGCATACTTCTTGCGCTTCCGGGAGTTTGAGGGAGGGTTGTTGGATAGGTCGATTCGGGATGCTGGCTCTGCGCGCGCTTCTCCCTCGGCTTCACCTTCTCCAACTTCGTCTTCTCCATCCTCAAATTCTATTTCTCCGTCATCTAAAGACTCTCCGGCATCTTCAGCAGCCATGCGCGCGTCGTTATCGGCCTCCAGAGCAGAAGAAAGGTCGAAAGAAGGGAATTTTATGCGGCTTGTGGGAACACCATTGCCTGAGAGCAAAAGTTGTCAATCAGACTGATTCGTGAATTCAAGGGGGTTTTGTGATGAAGGTAACGACACCTTTGAGAACAAATTTTCAGCCAGCAGAGCCTTGCCTAGATGATGGGCTGGGCGTCTGTTGGCTGGGATGCTTGAGGCGGGAGAAGAGGGAATATAGGTATAGAACCACCCACCTGTATGGGAACCCATTTGAGGCAGAGAGCCGGCGCTGGATGCGGTGGGAGGAGCAAGAGGAGAAAACACAATCAACAGAGACGCGTGATGATTTCATTTAAGCACGCGCTCTGCCATGATGCCACTCAAGCGCGCGCTTCGTTTCTTTCAATTCCATTGCCTGTAATTCAACGTCCCAGCCATCCCAACAAAGCTTCGACCCAATATTCATGTCCGGAACCCCTCACACACTCTTACTTGCCTTTATATCTCCCATCTCTGCCTTTCTCGACGTTCTTTTACACCCAACTCACCCAACAAGCTCTGCTTCAGAGCCGTTCAAACAACTATTTGTTTGCATTCTTCCAGCCTGATAGGCTTTCAGATCATACAGGAAGAGCCCTTTGCGAATACGACATCTTCAGCTCATAGGTGCGTAGCCTCCTTTTCATTGCTTTATCCAAGTTTGATAGGTACCCTCAGGGTGCCCCTCCGGTTTCCTTGTCATCTAACGCGCCGCCGTTCCCGCAATTTCTTCACCTGTTCATCCCCCAATCTCAAGGCAACACCATCTGCACAAACTCCAGCCCCATCTGCCATTTTTAACCGCCTACTCGCACCTTCACCAAAACTTTGCACCGCTGCGCCGAAACGTATCAACAACGTCAGGTTTCCTTCTGTTGCTATACCCTTGAACCACGAACCACCACCGGTAGCTTCACTCCTCTCAACACGACACGGTTTGCATGCAATTCGGACGGCGACCTCTTTTCCGTTGTTTCGAACACGGGAATATGGTGCCCTCAGCATATCCCTCCAGTCTTCCTTACCGCTTCCCGTGCCGCTGTTTGAGCAACGGATCCACCAATCAACCAGTCAATCTCAAAGAGAACTTGTCAAATTCAAACCCCTATATTGCTGATACCAGCCCTCCGATACCTGCTCACTGGACGATCAGGCGTCTCATTTCTTCCACAAAACACACCTGCCTCTACTTCGTCTTCCTAACAGAACAAGTGTTGCTCCAACCGGGCTCGAGCTTCGCTATGGCGACGAGCAGGAGGCGAAATGGTGAGGAGAAGGATGCGAGATGGCGGGAAGCAGGAGGCGATGTGGCGAGGAGAAGGAGGCGAGGTGGTGGGGAAGGGTGACAACAGGCCATTAGATTACGCCGTAAAATCTCCCTTCGAAATACGGTGTTTTGAGGACGCCTGTTCAGTTTTCGTTACCCCGTCCGTGTCAACCTCTACCTGATCACCGCTACTACGGCCATGCCAAGCTTGTTTAACACCACCTTATTCTTGTTTTGCCTTCTCAGGTCACATCAGTCTGTTAGGTTGGCATTCTTGGGCGTGTAAAGCACCCTCACAACCTCAAGCTATGTCTCCCACACCTACAGCATGCTCATCGAGTATGCACTGCTACCTGTCCATCAGAGGACGGATCGATTCCGTACCCGAATTGACTGCCAGCCTTGTTTTGCCTCGAGCTGTAGCCATAGTTTTCTCGGTAACGAGCTTGCCTCGTTTTTGTGTGAAAGAGAAAGGAAGGAATATAATGTGCACTTCAACCAACCAATCTAATACACAATATGCGAGTTCACTGCTATCAAATTTATTTAATAGCAAGGGGTAGCGTTGGCAAAGGTTCCGCAAAGCTTTGAAAGCTAAGTAAGAAGCTTTGATCAATCAATTTGAATCGTTCTAAGGATTCGATATATTCCTTTGATCAAGGTAGATTCAGCACGATTTGTGCTTTGGTTTGTATTGATTTGGGTATATCAAGAATTGGGGGTTTGAATCAAAGCAAATTAAAACCGAAACACACAGACCCCTACGGAGGGCTAGAACTATGTGCTGGCACAACCACACAGCGCGATTTGCCCTTAAGACCAACGACTGATCCTAAGTTCGAAGGATATCCAACAACTGGATATACTTCTCGCAGTCACAAGGAGCAGAACACAACGTTCCTATACTCACAAGTGCCGGGCCCGAATGGCTGCTAGCGAAAAGGTTTCAGTCTGGCGGGAGTGTGTCTTTCCTTTTTACGGATTAGCACTGCAACGTCGTCCCAAAATCACTTGTATTCCAGATACATCGGATCACTATTTATACATACAGAATATAGAGTTGCACAGTACAATTAATTTAATACAATAAACGTTCGGAACCGCAAGGAAACTTCTACACTCGGTCAGATACCATTTAATTTGAATCTACATGTCCTTATTTGGCCCATATTGGTTCCAAGATTCTAGTATACCTCTAAACATAGGTAGGTACTTCGATATTCATTTAATTTAATTGTTTTAGAGAATGACTTGAATGGTGTTCAACTGTTATTGCTGTTTAACACTTACTTCGATCGTTTGTCACCTCGTCCGGAGGCAAATCAGCTCTCCTCGATTCTAATCCTATCAATCTGATTCATCTGGATTAAACTAATTGCTTCTCTCTTTCAACAGACACCCATTGTGCCTATACTCTATCAAGGGAGTTACACATAGTATTCATTTAATTGTGTTCTTCAATATTTTCTACGTCAGGACTCTTTGACATTCATTTGATATGTCTTCGGAGCCTCGCAGTACTTCGATCGTTCTTCTAGTCATTTTCCTCAACCATGCAACTTGATTGGTCTATTAGACTAAATCGCAGTCTTTTGGATTAATGCATGATCTCGTTCTAGAAGGAGTATTTGATAATTCCTGAGTTCTAGAAAGTCCTTTCGAGTCAACCCTCGGTTCATGGTCACTTGAGTAAGTTCTTCCAAACTCCTGCCAGTGTAAGGTCCAATAAGAATACCCTTGGTATGTCATACGTGAATGGTCATCCTTCGGATGTAGTCCGAGTCTGGTATAATCCTGCTTGACAAACAGGTAGACTGCTATCCGAAGGTAGTATCGGGGATGGGTAAACTAACCAACTTGTGGTAGTATGGGTATATGGTCCCTTCAACTTATTAGACTGATTCAGTATTGACTTTGACTGTCAATCTGGGTCCCAATTACAGTCCTCTTGATACAAATCTATACGTGAAAATGTCACAATTCACAGCATAGACGTCTAGCCAAAATTTAGGCGTGTCATCGGCAACTCACTCTCGCTGCTACAATATTCAGAAGAACTTCAGTATATACGTATAATACCTCCATAAATTGCATGCTGTGTTTTTCATGTGATCGTCTCTTTACCCCTCTATGAAAAAATAGGAGACCTTCTCAACCTCTTCCTTTCTTCCCTTGTTGCCTCGTTGCCAAAGAATCATGGGAGTAAGAGAACTTTGGCCTGTAAGTGCTTATGCCACAATACCACTTATCGACTCCGCTGACTTTGGATACAGCTTGTAGACAACTGTGCAACGACGTGCAAGCTTAGAGACTTTGTGGTCGAACATGGATTTATCAATGCACACCATGCCTCACGTACAGTTGTCATTGGTGTAGATGTCAGGCAAGTATAGTTTACATATATATGAATAACTGTGTTTACCACCTTTGCAGCTCGTTCTTGGATGGTTTCCGGGCTGCCGGAATGGCTGTAGGCCAGCTCCACAGCTCTAATCCAACGCTCACTCAGTTTTTCAAACTGTTATGTGCTTTATCAAGGGCTGGCGCTCACTGTATATTTGTCTATGACGGGAATGAACCGGCACAGATTAAACGAGGTCGTCAAGTTGTCACAAATGAATTGGACTACCTGAAGCAATCGAGAACATTAATTAAGCATTTTGGTTACCAGAGCCATCTGGTGTATTCCTTTTGTATGCATAAAGTAACAAGTACAAAGTAATAAAATCACAACAGGCTCCTGGTGAAGCAGAAGCCGAAATAGCTGCCATGCTCAAGCAGGGAATCATTGATACAGTGCTCTCCAAGGACAATGACATTTTTCCCCTTGGAGCTGTATCTGTCATGAATCTTGTGGTACCACGGTGAGTAACTAGTTTTAAACACTTATTTAGTAAAGTCCCAACAATCTGTTGTAGGGATAAATCGAAAGCTCAAAGATCCTGGCAAGAATTGACTGTCTGTGTTTACCCTGTTAGAGCCATGGGGTTATCCCAAGGGGCATTCATTCTGATTGCACTGCTTCTCCGCAATGATCTTGGCTCCAGAGTAAACGGAATTGGGCCTCAATCCGCTTTTCGCCTTGCTCAGAGCGGTTTCGGTGATATTCTTCTTGACGCCTACCAATCCTTCAATTCAAAGACCCAACAACTTACTCAGGCCTGCCAGAAACTGAACGATGACATGGTGTTTGAAATGAAGTACAACAAGAAAGGTAAAATGGGCATTTGTAGCCCTACGTGAGCCAAGATACTTCAGGATTCCAATTTTCCTACGCATGAAGATCTTGAGGTCTTAGGTACCTTCCTTAATCCCATCACTAGTTATTCCAAAGGGCTTCGTGTATCACCCTCCCTCGGGCTACTCACACTGCCTAACATTAGTGGAATTGTAGCATTCTGTACCGAACACTTTGCTTGGTCTCCGAAGCTTATGTTAGAACATTTTCACCACAATCTTTGGCCCGGAGTTATTATCTGAATGTTTTCTTCTGTACGTATTTCCATACATCGGAGTGACATGCTTACAACACCTACTGACGATTTACGATTTTTGTCAGAAATACATTGCCTACAACCCTAAAAACTCCGAATTTCTAGTTCCCCCGCCTCCAGAGCGAATTCGAGACAGACAGAACAGGGAACGCTTATGTACCTACCCTTTTGACTACAATCCTAAGCAAAAATGCCCTGGAGTTTCCACCAAAAAACGCAGATGAAATCATTCCAATCATTTTCAGTACGGCGTTTTTTATTCAACTCACTGGTCTCAATTCTGCCATTGCAAAAAGTCGGAGAGTTGAAGTTCCCGTTGCCATGATCGCTGTGGCTACAAATAATGTAGACAAGGTCATCAATCTCCACCAATTGATTGGTAGGTAGTTTCAACGTCCCTTGCATATTATCTTGGCTTTAATTCACCATTACTTGCAGGTCCCCGTCTGCCTAAGATGCTCACTCAGAACCCAGGCATGGTTTTAGAAGCTCCGGGTAAGCTCATGGCGTCTTCTGTTCAAATTGATGCTTCAATTGAGTCTAGGTAGCCGTAGTTTACTTGAGCTTCCATTGAAGCGAAAGCAGAGCGAGTTCATTGCTGGAAGCAGCTTCAAGTGCAGTTGTTCTGGCAGTAAATATCTAGGTCTCATCGAGCTTACTGATAGCGAAGATGAGCTTGTTTAAAAATTGCACCATTGTTATTCATTAGAATTTCACAATATAATGTCAAGTTAGCTCTACCTTGTATGCTGCAATTCAGTATGTACATAGTGGTTGAGGTAGACACTGGGTAGATGGCAAGAAATAGTACAATCTGGCGCATAATAGTAACCTGATATCTCCGTAGGCATTGTCTTTTTTGCCTGCTCAATAAACTTCGCAATCTTAATGGCAGGGAGAAAAAGCTGAAGAGACGAGATTGCTAGAATAAAAAGATGATAGCACAGAGATCATACAGACGATGCACCACTAGATGCACATAACATTGCTTAATACGATTGTTCTGACCCTTTGAGATTAGTAGATCCTTGAATTACTTACTCAATGGACAGGGTGTTATGCGCGCTGTTACATATAAGATTCGGTTGAACATAGCTGACATCTAAGCAGCAGCGCTCATAGCCTCCCCTCCTGGCTGCCTCACAACATATGTATACCATTTCCACGACGGGCTTTCTATTACATACGTAGTCGCGTCCCCTCATTCCCTCACAGGTCTCCTTACCCTCATTCCCTCACAGGTCTCCTTACATTCATACTCTCACATCTTCAAACTCCATCTCCTGCTCCTTCACTGTCCTGTCCACCTGTCCACATAATCACATTATGCAATCTCGACTGTGAGTTCTCTAGCTTATGTTTTCTCTAGCTTATATTTTCTTGCTCAATTTGTGTCTTGGATGGTACAATTATTTTGCTCCCGCCGCCGTCGATTGCCCGCTCGTTGTCCGGAGCGCGTGGATCCGTCGGGTGATGCAGTGCAGTCCCTAAAGGGGAACTGTCATTACGCATCAGGTCACATCCCGTAACGATACGTTATTTGATGTGACCTTCATTGTCTTTTCCGTTGGTCTTAATTGCACTTCTCTCGTGGATAAGACAGTTCTGTCACGTCCGGTTGACAGGGCCGGTCGGATTTGATCGGCCATATACGATTCCATTTTTCGGCTCTAGGCTGTTTTGTATTTTTGATTAGATGATGTAATGGATTGAATCCGTACGGATTCGTTCCCACCGTTTCTTCGCCGGTCGTTGACCGTGTCCCCCACTCACTTTTCAACCATGTATTGATGACGTTTCGCTCGGCCCTGGTAGGTCGATCAAAAATGCTGCTGACGTCGGCTTGCAATTGCCGCCGCTCCTTGTTACCACCAACAATGACGTCGACACCAATTCCCGCTCTCTTTCTTTCTTGCTCAACTCTCTAGGCTCACAGTGGACCAGTTTTGTGCTAGTCGCCATACTCGTTGCACCTATTTATCATTTTCGAGGCTACTTCCATGTTATGGACATCGATGAACCTGACACACTCTCTGCTGCTACTGATCCACCACCCTCTTCACCACCCTCTTCTCCAGGCATCCTTTCAAATTTCTCATCGGACATTGAGCTTGTTGACCTCGGCAGTGAAGAATTTCGCATACGCCGTCCACCGGGACCACAACCTGCTCATACAATTGCACTTCCGGTATACAACCACGACGTTTTTGAAGTTGAATATGTCAATATGTGAGTCTTCACTTCACCCCGGTGGTCCGTATCCTTCCTTTGTTTCCTCACTTCATTCATCAACAGCTACATCATGAAATGTGCATCCCTGGTTCAGCTCTGCAAGACAAATAAGCTTGGTGTTGCAGGCAAGAAGGTTGAACTGCAGGAAAAGCTTGTTGCGTTTAGTGAAAATATGGTCCGGTGGAAATCGTACGTCCCTGCTATCTTTTTCCTACCCTATCACTGAAAAACTCGAACCTGCAAGTCTTATTGCAGGCGCAAGACGTTCTCACCGTGGCATCCGGGACAACAAACTCACCGCAGCTTCCACCAAGGAGACAACAAGTATCTTGGCGCCGACAAAAAAGCCGAAGAAGCTCAAAGGCTCAGCTTTACGAAGGATCACAATGATGGGTTTGAATTCAGATGGTACAAGTAATTCCCCTGTGCAACGTTCAAAGGATATGCGCACGCTGGCTGAGCAAGAAGCACTTTTACGATGGGTAAGCGCGGTAATAGTTGGCTCGATTATAACAACACTAAGTCAAATATAGGCTGACGAGTATTATGCTGCTCATCCTTATGTTCTGCACGAGGATGTTCTGAAGGAGCTCAAGGCTGAGAGCGATGCTCAAGTGAATTCCGTATGTGTTTTCTATATCTAGGTCTCAGCTTCGATGAAATAGGTGACCCTTTTCAGCCGGCCCTAATCACTGAGTACATGCATTCGACGCATGAACAAATTACGGGGCTCTCATCCATTGTAGGCACAGTTGTCAACATGCTTGCTCAAAGTATGCCTGCTTTAGCCCCGCTCGAACCCCAGATTGCATCCATCCCTCCATTATCTGCCGTTACGCCCCATCCACCTCCATCTCTGCCCCCATTTGCCTTCACATTTGCGCCTCTGCCGACACTTGCACATCGACCTACATCCGCAGCATTGGCATCTGCACCTGCACCTGCACCTGTACCTATGCCTGCGTTGACATCCATGCCTACACCTACACCTGTGCCTGCAGCTCCGCCTACATCCGCGTCCGTATTCGTGCCTCCGTTTACACCCATGCCTGCAGCTCTGCCTACGTCTGCGCCAGTGTTTGTGCCTCCGTTTACATCTACATCTACATCTACATCTGCAACGGTGTCTGCGCCTCCATTTACATCCACGCCTGCACCTCTGCCTCTGTCTGCATCAGTGTTCACGCCTCTGTTTACATCTACACCTGCACCTACACCTGCACCTCTGCCTATATCCGCGTCATCTGCGTCAGTGTTTGCGCATGCACCTGCACCTCCCTCGACATTTACCTCAATCCCATTGCCTCCGTCGTACAAACCATTGTCCAATACAAGTCTGACACTCACAACAAATAATGCAGGTATGCATTGGTCAGAATGTGCATGATCATGCTTTACTGAATTATTGATTATCATTAGATCTGTCGGGTAACGACGTGATAATGAGTGATTCGTCGGCTCTCCCATCAAAGCTCCGGAAAGCCCATAAAAGCATTGGAGATAAAACATTTGAACTTATTCTTGCTAATCACCAGTGACTTAGCTTTTGTTATCTTGATATACCGGAGCCATCATTACAGCTGAGCTTTGCAAATGATATAGCCCGGTTGGATCACATCTGGGATGATGCAGGACCAAACTGGGATCCCAAGGATTGTGCAACAGTCTCTAGCATCAAAGGTGTTCCAGTCGCACTTCGCTACTGGCAAGAAATCTACAAGGGGAAGAAGGACCAGAGATGGGATGGGATTAAGGGGAGTTGGTCAGAATGGCGGGTAAGTGGTGTCTATATCGTCTTCATTCTGTTTTGCTCATGATAAACAGTACTTTGCCGAGCGATATCATTCCAGTACCCCTGAAGAATTTTGGTTGGAGTTCCAGACGGATGCGGGGCAGCCATTAAAATGGACTGCGATTCTTGAACGCTTGCGGAACTTGCAAGTAGCTCGTGACCAAGAATTGGCTGCCCGGGCGAGAGCAGAGTATGGGCCAAGGTTTGACGAGGTATTTTCCCATTGTGGTAAAGTAATGTCAAAGAGCTCTTCCATTGCTAGCCATTATCTATCTTTGGCTCAACGTTGACTGCTTTATATATGTGTCTCTCTTCACTAGTGAACCATCTTAGTATATATAGCTTCAAATAACCATTGCAATGTTTTTACTTGGCATTTTGAACGTCCAAAATGAGAAAATAATTTAGCTACAATGGCAAGAACGATTACAAGTAGGGCATACAGTAGTAGGTTTACGGTGCATATTGAAAAAATCATAACGGTTTACAGTAGGATTGTCGTTCCATGAAATTAGGTACTTTACTATTGTGAGGTGAGTAAACTCTTGACTCCAGCCGCCCCATTCGCAGATTTGTCTCAATGGCCATCAACGTTCTACTGACAACCATTGGCATCCCCCATGACGGAAAGAATGAGTCCCATATGGAAAGTAATCAGTTCCTATATCAATAAGATTGTTGCAAAACATCTCAAGAAACTGCCCAGATGTCTGATAGTAACACCAATAAGCTGAATATATAAGAAACAACATTCACACTTACCATTGGCTCATTTTCTTCTGCAATGCGATCATTCTGGCGAATTTTCCTGAACAAATAACCTGTCCTAATCCGCGAGAAATGTAGCCATTTTGAAAAGGCCCGAACAGGGCATAGATGGGCATACTGTCTTGGCATCTCATGAAGAATAAAAGGTTTTATATCTGGTGGTGGTGAGTAACTAGAGACTGGCTTTAAGGAAGATTCACGTACCTCCAAATTGACTAGTTTTTCGAAATGGAAGGGTGAGTGTTAACGTTACCACCCCTGTCTTTGGGTCCTTCTCAATTACAATATCGTGGACTTGAATCTTCAGCAATTCATCAATTCGGAGGAGATTACAGAATGCCAGGGTGTAGCCCAAATGAAGAAGTGCACGAGCGCAACATCCTCCCCAGTCTGTTGGATCTTTAGGGGCATTCCTAGCAGTAGGTTCATAGGGGCGAGGCTCAGCAAACTTGGGCTGGTTATTGAACTCAAACAAATCGGAAAGCAATGCTTAGAAAGCATTATTATTGCCCACAAAACATATCTGAGTAAACACCCACCGAGGTTACAGCTCGAGCACTGGTAGCAGTTTCTCCGATGAGTGTCTAGGAAAGAATAGTTCAGTCATTGTATAACTAAGTCCCTGTAGTGGGCATACTTTGCGTCGACGCAAACTTAGCATATAGCTAGTCAAAGTCTCTGAGACTGATGGGTTTCCAAGCATCTTTCCAGTATATTCACTTCGACGCCATGCGAGCATGCCCAAACCATGGATGCGCCCAAAACCAAATGTTGCTGCAGCTTGCATTTTTTGTGCATGTGTGAAGGTTGATCGTTCCTTTGACTTGTCCTTCTCTGTTCCATCTGTCACGAAGCGGCAGAGGCGGAGTGACTAGCGGAGCAGGAAGCGGGGTGACTAAACCAGACAGTGAGGCGGAGCGACTAAGCAGGTGAGTGAGGCGGAGCGACTAAGCGGAGCGGAGGCGAACTGGTCCCAGATAATGACAGAGATATATTGAGTATCGTAGTCATAGGTAATAATAAGTAAGCACATACCTGGTCCCAGATAATGACAGAGAGGTCAAGATAAGGGACCAGGCTGTGGAGGGTTGGCTATATATACATAATCTAGTCTGCGAGAAACAACGATGTAATACTGTACAGTTCAGGGGCAAGGAAGGAGGCGGAAGCCGATAGAAAGAGAAGGTGGGTCAGGTGGATCAGTAATAGATAGATCAGTAATCGATGGAGATTGACAGCGATGGGATGATGTATTGTACAAGTAAAGGCGTCGAGACGGTGAGAAAGGGAAAATGATAGGGGCTGCGTACTTTATGACATTACCCCCCTCCTTATGACCATTGCCCTCGATGGTCAAGGTTTTGCCGCTGTCGGATGTTTTTTGTGAAAGGCCCGAACAATTTTTGGTGCCCGGCTGAGGTTGGGTGCGGGTTCCCAAGAGTTGTGTCCTGCATCGTAACCTTTCCATTTTACTAGATATTCCAACTTCTTCCATCGTACCCGACTGTCCAAGATCTCCTCCACTTCATATTCCGGTTCATCTTCATCTTCTAAGTACACCGGCTCTGGTGGTGTTGGTATTTCGCCATTGATGGGGTTACCTTTCCATGGATATAGTTTGTCGACATGGAAGACAGGATGAAGGCGGTCTAATGACAAGGGAAGGTCAAGGCGGTAATCCAGAGGTCCGACTTTCTCCAGAATACGGTAAGGTCCTAGCTGTCGGTCTCCTAGTTTTTCACTGGATAGCTGCAGGTTAATGTCCTCCGCACTTAGCCAAACTAGGTCCCCAACTTTGAATTGATGCGCTTTTCGCTTCCCACGTTCGTATCCCTCCTTTTGTTGCTTCTTTCCTAGATGTAAGGCAGCTCCAGCATCCTGTCGCGCTTCTCGGAGAATCCGTATGCGGTCATCCACCGCTGGAATGCCGCTGCGTTGACCAACCGGGATATTGAACAGGGGAAGGTATCCGTAGGTTAACTCGAATGGGGACATGCCTAGGGCCGAGTGAGTCCGCGAGTTAATCACAAACTCCGCCATGGGGAGGTGTTCTGCCCAGTCATCTTGTCGTCGTCCCACATAGAGGCGGATGTATTTTTCCACTTCCTGATTTGCGCGTTCAGTTTGGCCATTGGACTGAGGACGATATCCGGAGGTTAGATCTGATTTAATTCCCAGTCTAGCGAGGAGGGATCGCATGAGTTTAGCTGCGAACTGAGGTCCGCGGTCGGATTTGAAGTGGAGGGGAAGACCATGGAGACGGAAGATTTCTCGGTAATAGATATCGGCGACACCTTCGGCTGTAATGGAGCTGGTGCAAGGAATAGCATGGATTTGTTTTCCATACAGGTCTGTACAGACCAAGACTGCGTCGTATCCCTGGGAGTTAGGCAATTGTGTTATCAGGTCGACCCCTACCTCTTCCCATAGGCCAGATGGTACATCCAGTGGTTGAGTCACAGCTCGTGGGTGCCGTTGGATCTTCTTGCGGGCGCAAATCTCGCATCCCTCCACGTATTTCTCCACAAAAGAACGCAGTGTCGGCCACCAGAAGTGGGTGCTGACCAGGTCAAGTGTCCCATGTAATCCGGGATGTCCAGCAGTTGGATGATCATGGCATTGACGGAGTACCTCGGTGCGTAGATTGTTGTCTGCTGGTACATATACCCGGCCCCGGTAATAGACCAACCCGTTGTCCTCCTCCCATTCAGCTATCCCATTGGCCAAGCGTTGTAACCCGTGCTTCTTGACTGTTTCCAGACCTTCCAGTACTTGTGCTTCCCGTTCTGAGGCTTTCCGAATACGATCCTCTAGGGGGTTCCGTAGGATTGAAGCGGCGATTTTGGTGAAGTGGCCAGGTTTAAGGACGGTCTGTTGCTGGTTGTCATCGCTATCTGATACATGATGTACTGCCATACGAGAAAGGGCATCAGCTTGGGTGTTTACTCGGCCAGGACGGTGGATCATATGAAAATCAAACCGTGATAGATAGAGGGCCCATCGGGCTTGTCGACGGGTAAGGTCTTGTGCTGTGCGCCAGAATTCGAGGTTGGAGTGGTCGGTGATAATGTCAAATGGTTGTGGAAGTCCTTCCAGGAAATTCCTCCAGTCCTTCAATGCTTCAATAATGGCAAGCATCTCCCGATCATATATTTCATAGTTCCGTTCTGCTGGCTGCATGGATGCCGATCTGAAGGCTACTGGGTGCCACTGACCATCGTCTTGCTTCTGCATGAGGGCGCCTCCCGTAGCAAAGCCTGATGCGTCTACCTCAATTCGAGTGGGCCGATCTGGCGCCCATAGAGCAAGGATTGGTGCGGAGATGAAGGCCCCTCGAAGGGTGTCAAATGCCTCCTGTTGTGTACCAGTCCAGTTAAAGGTGGTATCCTTCTTGGTTAGGTCGTTCAAAGGTCGAGCTATTCTTGCAAAATTTCGGATAAAGCGCCGGTAGAAGTTTGCAAACCCCAAAAATCCTCGCAGTTCCCGGAGGTTGGTAGGGACTGGCCAGTCACGAACAGCCGCTACTTTGACCGGATCCATTCTCACCTCCCCTTCTGAAATGATAAGTCCCAGGTATTCGATCTGTTGCTGTTCAAATTCACACTTCTCTGGGCGCAAATAGAGGTCGTGCTTTTCTAGTCGCGTTAATACTTCCCGTACCACTTGTCGGTGTTCCTTGAGGTCGTTACTGAATATGAGGATGTCGTCTAGGTAGACTGCCACCTTGCCAGCTGCAATGAGATCAGCAAATATCGCATTCATAAGTGCTTGGAATGTGGCAGGGGAATTCGTGAGACCGAAGAACATAACCTTAGGCTCGAACAAGCCCCGAGTTGTTGCAAATGCGCCTTTCCATTCATGCCCCTTCTTAATCCGCACATTATTGTAGCCCCAGCGAACGTCAAACTTGGTGAAATATCGCGCTCCCTGAAGCCGGCTAATGATATCAGCAACTAATGGGAGAGGGTATCGGTTCTTCACAGTATACTCATTCAGTTTCCGGTAGTCCTGTACGAAACGGAGTTTCCCATCCTTTTTCTTCACGAAGAAGACTGGAGATGAGATGGGTGACTTCGAGGGAACGATGTAGCCTTTCCGTAGGTTTTCTTCTAGAAAGCGGTCGAGTTCCTCCTGCTCGTTCAAGGACATTGGGTAGATCTTTGTCCGCATGGTTGCTGGTGCTCCGGGTACAAGATCAATAGCGTGATCCCAGGGCTGATGGGCAGGTAATCGCTCAGAGGCAGATTCGGAGAAAACCTTCTTGAAGTCTCGGTACTGCTCAGGGACCATCTCCTCAAAGGTTTTAATGGGTTTATCGCGGTTAGCCTCCTCTGCTAGTTGTTGAGAATATGTGAACCCTGCTGAGCACCATACTTCCTCTGTTTGTTCTTCCAATATCCCCGCTTTCACCCATGCCCGACGCGTTTTGTGATTGGCTCGTATTCGGTGTATTGGGGATTCCTCCATTGCTGTTATGATTTCATTCTCCTCTAGGTCTGCCTCAGTGTGATTGGGTTCACGTTGGGATCCTTCGTTCAGGAGTTCCTGGATTGGACTATCGGTAGTAGACGCCACTAGGTGAGGGTGTGAAGTCTGCTCATCTTCTACTTCCTCTATATGTACCCGGGGTGGCTTTACTGAAAGTCGTCCCTTCTCCCAGTCAATCTCTGGATTTACCTTCCGTAGCCAGGGGAGTCCGAGAATAATATCCTCTCCTCCTAAGTTTGTGATCAGGAAATCCATCCATCGCTCCTGGTTATCCACTGTGAGTGCTAAGCGTGCAAAGTGGGTGATTCGCCCGGCTCGGTTAGGTGTACCATCGATATTGAATACATCGATTGGTTTATGGAGGGGTGCGCAGGTTACGTGATTTCTGGTGGCAAAGTCTTGGTTTAAAAACAGGGCGGTAGCTCCACAGTCTACCATGGCTGCGGTTGTTATACTATGGTTCCTTCCTCTCAGTTTCGCATGAATTCGGAAATGTGGGGAGCTGGAATTTAATTCCCAAATAGATGATATTGTACATGATGGGAGCGAGTCATACGAAGAGGTAGCGAACATAGTAAACTGATTATGGGGTACTCTCGGTGCAGCCGGAGCGGGTACCCTCTTTAAAAACCCTGCTGAAAACCAGAGGACGGAGGAGACATGGCATTAGCACGGTCCAACAATTCCCTTATTTGTCCAATTTGGGTGGAGAAGTCCTGATTAGCGGGGCTCGGTATAGCAGGTCCAGCGACAGGTGTTGGGATTGAGGCGGCAATCTGAACTGATTCGTTTGGGAATAAGGTAAATGGTGCCGCCGTGGCTGAGATCTGCTGACAGCGAGGCTGTTGGCGTCGGCCACGGTCGCGACTAAGTCCCATGAACTTGTCCTGACAGACGGATTCTAGGTGTCCCCGGCGTCCACAGTATCGGCAGGTAGTCTCCTTGTGTGGGCAATTCTGCTTAACATGGCCTTGAGCTCCACAACCAAAACATTGTCCGCGCATACGGGCAAGGAAGGCCTCCCTGCTATTCCCAGTGCTGGTATGAGTAGCATCAATGTCCATGGCGTGAGGGTCGGCAGGGGTAATGTGAGCAGTGTGTGCGGGAGCGTGTCCGGTGTTTCGGCCGGTCATGGTGGGATCATGCAGGTAGACATCCACCGATATGGCTCGTTTGATTGCCTCTTTCAAAGTCGGAGCGATTCCTTGGGCGATGTTTACGATGATAAGGTGTTGTCGGATCTCCGGAAGTAAGGCGGTGAAGAAGCGTTCCCGTAAATCAATATCAGACATTTCAGTCCGATCTCCGATATCCTTGAACTTCTGGGCAAATTCTGCAACTGTCTGCCCTTTACTTTGTCTGAGGTTCTTGATCTCGCTACGGGCTTCCATACCTGGGTCCATTGGTTCAAACCGCTGGCTAAATTCCTTCAAGAACGTATCCCAGTTTCCTCCGAAAGGGGGATTCTCTGCACTGAAGTGTAACAGATGGGGAGTTGCCCAATCTCCAGCACTTTCTGTGAAGAAGCCCAGGGCGGACTTGATAAGTTTAACTTGGCTCTTGGCGAGATCCGGTTGTTCTGACGCCCAATTTTGGAACTGAGCCATGAAGCGACGAGCTTCAGCACCATCTTTACCCTTGAAGACCTCGGGTTTGTTCATGCTTGACTTGGAGGATGAGCGTTCCTCCATGGCTGTAGCAAGGCTGGCTACTTGTCTGATGAGCTGAGCCATGAGATCCTCAGCAGAGGTATTTGGGGCGGGCGGGACAGGAGTCGACATGATGGGAGTAGGCAATCGGGGTTGGGGAATTGGCAGGAAGGTTATATTGCTCACAGTGAGTGGCTCTCGGATCGAGTTCGAAAGGGCGTTGGGGCAAGGTTGAGACTGGCAATCACGCCAAGTATCGTTGTTGTTGTGGGCGTGAGCTTGGTCTCTGGGGTCAAGTGCGTGCGGGAGTGTGGAGCAGTCTATACTGGCAGCAGGTGTTTCAGAATCGGGCGGGACTGGGGAAGACGTGGTGTCTACGGATCCTGCAAGGACAACCTTATCGGTAGGCTGTCAGTGCAGTAATGGATCTTGACCTAATGTCACGAAGCGGCAGAGGCGGAGTGACTAGCGGAGCAGGAAGCGGGGTGACTAAACCAGACAGTGAGGCGGAGCGACTAAGCAGGTGAGTGAGGCGGAGCGACTAAGCGGAGCGGAGGCGGAGCGACTAAGCGGAGCGGAGGCGAACTGGTCCCAGATAATGACAGAGATATATTGAGTATCGTAGTCATAGGTAATAATAAGTAAGCACATACCTGGTCCCAGATAATGACAGAGAGGTCAAGATAAGGGACCAGGCTGTGGAGGGTTGGCTATATATACATAATCTAGTCTGCGAGAAACAACGATGTAATACTGTACAGTTCAGGGGCAAGGAAGGAGGCGGAAGCCGATAGAAAGAGAAGGTGGGTCAGGTGGATCAGTAATAGATAGATCAGTAATCGATGGAGATTGACAGCGATGGGATGATGTATTGTACAAGTAAAGGCGTCGAGACGGTGAGAAAGGGAAAATGATAGGGGCTGCGTACTTTATGACACCATCAAGGTTGATTTCGTCGCAGCTGTAAACATCAATTGGATAATCATTAGTAGCTCGGGGAATAGTGACTTACGATTCCATTATCCATGCAGCCAGATATTCAGCAGAATGAGAATGAGGATTTTTGCAAAAGAAAGGTGTTGTAGCCGGAACCATGTTCCGCACATGGACAAATTTCTCGCATTGGTTCATTAAACTAGGATATGACTGAGAGGACCATTCCGAGAGGAAAGAGCCCCTAACAACCTACCGGATGTACTCTTTGCTTGTTTTTTCAGAAACACCTTTCGATACCTCCTTGATGCTCTTCATCAATTCCGACAGGTCCATTGAACTATCATTTTCATCATCATTATCGTCATCTTCGGGAAGTTCTGTTGTAACATTGTCCTGCACTTCTTCGAGGTTATCGAGGATTTCAACAGCAGAGGAATGCTCCTTAATAGCAGCGAGAACACCTTTGTAAGCCTCAGTTGTGATAATAGGAGCCTCCGATGACACGCCTAAATTTTGGCTAGACGTCTATGCTGTGAATTGTGACATTTTCACGTATAGATTTGTATCAAGAGGACTGTAATTGAGACCCAGATTGACAGTCAAAGTCAATACTGAATCAGTCTAATAAGTTGAAGGGACCATATACCCATACTACCACAAGTTGGTTAGTTTACCCATCCCCGATACTACCTTCGGATAGCAGTCTACCTGTTTGTCAAGCAGGATTATACCAGACTCGGACTACATCCGAAGGATGACCATTCACGTATGACATACCAAGGGTATTCTTATTGGACCTTACACTGGCAGGAGTTTGGAAGAACTTACTCAAGTGACCATGAACCGAGGGTTGACTCGAAAGGACTTTCTAGAACTCAGGAATTATCAAATACTCCTTCTAGAACGAGATCATGCATTAATCCAAAAGACTGCGATTTAGTCTAATAGACCAATCAAGTTGCATGGTTGAGGAAAATGACTAGAAGAACGATCGAAGTACTGCGAGGCTCCGAAGACATATCAAATGAATGTCAAAGAGTCCTGACGTAGAAAATATTGAAGAACACAATTAAATGAATACTATGTGTAACTCCCTTGATAGAGTATAGGCACAATGGGTGTCTGTTGAAAGAGAGAAGCAATTAGTTTAATCCAGATGAATCAGATTGATAGGATTAGAATCGAGGAGAGCTGATTTGCCTCCGGACGAGGTGACAAACGATCGAAGTAAGTGTTAAACAGCAATAACAGTTGAACACCATTCAAGTCATTCTCTAAAACAATTAAATTAAATGAATATCGAAGTACCTACCTATGTTTAGAGGTATACTAGAATCTTGGAACCAATATGGGCCAAATAAGGACATGTAGATTCAAATTAAATGGTATCTGACCGAGTGTAGAAGTTTCCTTGCGGTTCCGAACGTTTATTGTATTAAATTAATTGTACTGTGCAACTCTATATTCTGTATGTATAAATAGTGATCCGATGTATCTGGAATACAAGTGATTTTGGGACGACGTTGCAGTGCTAATCCGTAAAAAGGAAAGACACACTCCCGCCAGACTGAAACCTCTTCGCTAGCAGCCATTCGGGCCCGGCACTTGTGAGTATAGGAACGTTGTGTTCTGCTCCTTGTGACTGCGAGAAGTATATCCAGTTGTTGGGTATTCTTCGAACTTAGGATCAGTCGTTGGTCTTAAGGGCAAATCGCGCTGTGTGGTTGTGCCAGCACATAGTTCTAGCCCTCCGTAGGGGTCTGTGTGTTTCAGTTTTAATTTACTTTGATTCAAACCCCCAATTCTTGATATACCCAAATCAATACAAACCAAAGCACAAATCGTGCTGAATCTACCTTGATCAAAGGAATATATCGAATCCTCAGAACGATTCAAATTGATTGATCAAAGTGTCGCGACGAGGCGGGATGTCTGAATACGCCGGGGAGCGACAGTGGCAGAGCGAAAAGGCACAGAAACAAGCACAAACCACAGATGAAAGAAGTAGTGATCTCAAACAACAGTGGGATAGCGTCAGAGGCCAATCACACCAGTAATCAAAAGGGAATCTAGTTGCCCAATGACCAAGTTAGATAGGTGGTATCTAAAAGGATACAAGTACTTGCCTAGTTGCCCAATGACCAAGAGGTCGAGATGGGGAACTAGGGTCTGTCTACTGTCCTTTATATACTACTCTTGTCTAATGAGTAAGCGATTGTAAATAACAATGCAATATAGAACAAGAGTGAGGAATCAATATATACGAGTAATAATGAGTCGATAATGAACCATAATGAACTAATCGATGAATAAGGAGGAGTTGTATGGAAGCGTATGGAAACAAATGGAACTAATGGGATGACCGTGTGATAAAGTACAATAACCATGTGAAAAGAGATTGATGGGAACACACCGCTGATGGCGCATCAAAGGGCGCATCATGAGACTTCATGACACAAAGCTTCTTACTTAGCTCTCAAAGCTTTGCGGAACCTTTGCCAACGCTACCCCTTGCTATTAAATAAATTTGATAGCAGTGAACTCGCATATTGTGTATTAGATTGGTTGGTTGGAGTGCCCATTAGATTCCTTCCTTTCTCTTTCACACAAAAACGAGGCAAGCTCGTTACCGAGCCTTCTGATCCTGCAATGAGGGCTTCCGACATGGTATTGAGTTATGATGGCTGTAGCTTGAGTAAGAATAGGGGGACCACATTGTCTCCTTTGTTTTGACGGGGCTTTTAATGTGGCCTGCGCATGAAAGGCACGCAAACACAAAAATACCCATTCATACTCCAAAAAAAAAAAAATCAATAATTTCATTCAAGGATTTCAATATGAGGTAAATAATCAGTGCCGACAGGATGTTTATGAGCAAAAAGACCCAGTCTTGCAGCTCTGAAGATCAATCCGGCCGTTTAACCCCATCTCAAGCCAAACATTGCCCCTCCGATCACCCCGACAGATAGCAGCTATATGGCAGTTTGCCTCATGGACTTGCTGGTTCTTCCTTTGGGCAGTGCATTAGTTTTTGTTCAGTCTTCATTGCAAAACGTGTCTTAGCTCTTGCTCATTCCAACTAGATGCTTAGGTTTAAAAACAACAACAGTTTCTGGCAGCTCCTGAAGCTTATTAGATTGATTCAAACAACAAAATTATACAATAACAGGGAAGAAACGTAACCCATGCTCCCATCGGGTAGCACGGTTTAACCGCTATTTTTTTTTCTCCGCTACCATAGCTCTATCAAGAAATGCTTCCTGTGTCTGAAAACCATTAGCAACCCACCGAAAAAGGCCCCCAGCAGTATACTGAGTGATTGAATATCAACGCTCTCCCTCCTGAATCGGGCAATTGTAATGTACAAGTAAAGCAGATGGCAGAAAAATTACACAACCTGGCGGAAACTCAATGACAAGCTTCAAGTCCGGAAGGACAAGCTGACCACCCAACCGGTGATTGAAGGGCCCAAGGGAGAGAACAGGGCACCAGCCGTCTGGACGGTTGCAACCATCCACATGGGGGTTGGTCACAGACTGTGGCCCACAATTAACTGTAAGCGAAGACCAAACGGAGTTGGGGAAGTTGAAGGTGTGGCTCTTTATCATGTAGCTCTTCTTGATGCAGGCGGTAGTCCTCGTACATTAAGGGGTTATATGTGTGGAGAATTTCTACCAACACATACCTCAGAAGTAATTGGTTTACAATGGGGATAAAAACTTACGATTCATAAACCTGGAGGCATGCTGCATGGCTGGGTGTTCTAGCAGCGCATCCATGAAGCTGCGTTCTGATTGCGAAAGTACACGGTTGCCTGGGAACTGGGTCATAATGTTCAACATAGGTAATGAAAGATTCAAGCTCCAATGACTTACTGACTCACCACCCCCATGGGATGGACCAGATGCTAGTGCGGCAAAACCATCACCCCGTTTGTGATAAAGCCTTTCCGGTGAAAATTTGAGGTGGGAGGAGCCAGCAGCAATGGCCTCTGCTAACGGCTCGGCAACCTCAGATTGCCAGTGCATCTGTGGTGATCCTGCGATGAGCACCACCATGCAGCCATGACGGTCCACAATTGGTATGGTGCCCGTCGTGGTCGCCCCGTTCCCGTTGTTTTGACCCGCGGCGTTGGTGGGAACATCCAGGGGATATGGGATGTAACGCCAGCCCGGTTGGCTGCAAAGCATCTGGGCATCACGTCAATCATGAGCAAGTACCTGGTTTTGGCCCCCAAAGCCTGTGGAGTTCACAGGGAGCATAGCAGCATCTAGATCCACCTGGATTGCTTGTGCATAGGCATGAGCACGATGTTTGGCATGTACTGGCTTCTCAGCTGTTGGAAAGCGAGTGCTAAGTTCACGTTTGCGCTTCCGCCGCCCATGAGAGCCAGACTGGCGGGCATTCCGATGCGTGGCAGTGGAAGGTGAGGAGTTTCGAGGTGGGTGTAATGACGTGGTAGACTCCGATGCCATCTCCGGGAAAGCGGGGCATCGGGATTGTGATAGTGATAGGCAGGCAGCACTGGCAAAATTCTGTTGGTGAGATTCAGAAGCAGACACTGATGGGTAGGGTGGGGACACCCGGGGCCTTGGCAAAGGGAGCTGCGATTGGGCCTTGACGTTGTCCGGGGGTTTTGTGGGGGTGCAAGCGGGTTGAATCTGCACCAATGGTGATTGGGGTGGAGGTCAGTAACTGCCTCCCACATGAATGCGGGCAACGCACTGGTGCTTCAAGCTCATGGTCCGAGTCAATCACATCCCCTCCATCACCCTGCGCATCAAGCTTGGCATATCGAAAGCGGAGAAGGTCTGCGACGTCAACGTTACACCGGATGGGGGTTCCCAGCTCATATGGTGAAAATTCGGCCCCGGAACGTGTAGTACGGGCCATTAACATGTCTATCATGTTACGGTAAGCATAATGTGGCATATGTCACAGAAAAACGCATCAAAAAGTGACTGAAAATGGAAGGGAGTTCCACAATGTGCCAGCGCGTCCCGGGGTGCGAGTCGACGGTCCTGGCGCAATGTGGAAGGCCCACAACCATTCACATGCACCAAAAGATTGGATGCACTTACTGAATGTGGTGGTGGAAGTGGTTGGATCACGGTGGTGGAAGTTTACAAGCAAGAGGTGTATCAACAGAGATTCGGGGGCAGGCGATTCTGTTCTCGTCACGGGACTGGCGCTAAATTCCATGGCGTCAATTGGGTGGTGCCTAGTAGGCTATCTCAAGTATAGGGGATTAATTCCCCTGTTTTAACCGTTTCCTATCCTGCTGCTATCATTCTACTTGCAACTTGTCAATTAAGTCCATAATCAGTGCTGACAACATGGGGATACGAGATATTTGGCCTGTAAATATTCACTGAATACTCATTGAAGTCATAAACTCATGAACTCATTTCTTGCAGCTTATAAAACCCACTGCTACAGCATCCAATTTGGCAGATTATGCATTGGAATATGGGTACACAAAGAAGCTTCAAGGCTCAGATGACATGATATTCCGCATAGGCATAGATGTGCCGTGAGCATCACACCCAAGTCCATGGATTAATGCCAGTTGAAGTAATTCATTTATAGTGCACTATTCAACAGCTTTCGACATATCAATTCATCCACTGTCCTACTTCAATTGTTCCAGTTTTTGTGCCAGCTGTGCCATGTTCCTGTTGCTGATTTTGTCTTCATGTACAACCCTGTGCTCGGAGTTGACCTTGAAGCAGACTCTTCAGAATATGAACAGTCAAAGCAATTGGTTCAATCATTCAACTATCATATTGACGTAGTATGTCCACATTATCTTGTGCTTTACTGAGATAGCATAACTAACTCAAGCTTGATATCTTATAGGCAAAGAGAGTGGTGAATGCTGAGTTGTCAGCCATGAATAAATTAGGGGTAATCGATGCAGTCCTCACCAATGATAGCCACATATTCCCCTTTGGTGTGAAATGTGTTCTTTTAGTCAACAGGTAACGTACCATTGTTAAAAAGACTTGAATATGATCGCAGTGATAATTGGGTACATAGCACCAAATCAACCCCTACAAATCTTGCAATTGATATATATTGTGCCAAGATTATAGAACAACAACTCGGGATACAGGAAGATGGGTTCATTCTGCTTGCCCTGCTCCTCGGAAGTGATTTCAATGAGGGAGTTCATGGTGTTAGCATGAAAACTGCAGTTGCACTAGCGAGACACGGATTCGGAAAAACTCTTCTTCATAATTATCACCAGTTCTCACAGGTTCCTGAGCTGCTCAACAATTTTTTCATTCAACTCAATCATGAAATCGCCGATGAAATTGAGCTGAATACCAGCAAAAACTTGCATCCACAGAGCCCAAGGAGGGCACACGAGTTCCTTGATGCCGACTTTCCATCTGTTGATGCTTTGGAAGGCCTAAAAATATTCACGGAACTTGTCACTCACCCTTCCCCTCCAACTCCGAGTTGCCCATTAACCCCGAAATGGCCTTATAATGTACCGCACATCTCGAATATAGCAGCATTTTGCACAACACACTTACGTTGGAGCTCAGAATTTATGTATCAAGAATTCCACGCAAAACTATACAGAGGAGTTATCATCCGTATGCTTTGCTCCGTAAGTTACTGAATTGTTTACATTGGCTCCACCCTGACATATGAACAGAAACACGTAGCTTACAATGTGCTAAATGGAGAACTGCTTGTTCCAGTCCTGCAAAGCTCCTTTAATTTTGACCATTTTGGAAGGCCTTTTGCGTTCACCCTCTCTACAACAATTATCGGAACAAATCCTTCTGCTCTTTGTGGTAAGAAAGTGTGCAACTCTGTCCGTGTTGAATTTAACACGTCCTTCTTCGACGTTGTTACTGGCACTGTTATTCTAAACCATGTACCACAGACTGTCGGGGTCACTATTCCTATTTTCATTATTGCGAAGGCCACACGACAAATTGTAGATAGCTGAAAAACCATTTTCATGTAGAGGTCTTACAACAAAGAAATATTATCATTTTTAAGATGCTCAGAACCTTGAGAACTTGAAAACAAAATTGACCTTTGACAGTGATAAATGGTTTGCTGAGGAGGACAAGCACAGCTTTTCACGCAGACAAGATGTTGCACCTATTTTTAGTACAGCCTGATTAGAAACAAGTGAGATATCCTCAAAATTCTTTGGGATTGTAGACAACGACGAACACAACAAAAACTATTTTTGCACAAGCTAGACATTGTATTCTGAGGGTAGAGTATCATTCCATGATTCTATCGTACCTATTTAGAGCAAGATTTGGTCAAGATTGAATGAGATATGATCAAGATTATTCCACTCACCTTGGGGTTGCTGGCAACGACAAGCACACGTAAAATAATTTTCGCACAGACTAACCATTGGCCTCCAAGGGTAGAGCATTATTTTACGACTCTATTGTACCTATTTAGAACAAAAACGCATGAGAAACGAGTGGGATATGATTGAAATGCTTCAACTCACCTTGGGGTTGCTGGCAACAACGAGCACACGTAAAATTATTTTGCGTGGACTAAACACGGTACTCAGAGGGTAGAGTATCATTTTACGATTATATTCAACCTATTTAGAGCAGAATCTGATCAGAGATGCATGAGATATGAGCATGATTTTTAGCTCACCTGAGGCACACAGATGATAGTAACTCTGAAAGTATTTCATGGGTTTTGTGCTTCCTGCAATATGCAGCACCGCAGCTTCTCCGACTGGGTATGAGGCCTGGTTCTAGCTGACAAAGAAAGGACATCAACAGAGAAGGAGGACGGCTTGAAAAGGAGGATGGCTCGAAGGAGGAGAGCAAAGTTTAAAAGACATGGCGCAAGCTGGAGAACAGAGACCCAGGTCCCTAAGCAAAAAGGAAGTAGCTCAAAGGAGCTATGTGTCTGAGTAAGAAGTTTGTGATGCTCTGAGGGTGTCGTCCACCAAGTAGTGCTATGCAATCAACAAGGATCTGAACTTTACTGCATTGGAACTGGACGCGCCGCGCCATATTTCAGGCTGTACCCAGCTTTGAGGTGGGTAGTTCATTGCAGTAAGGAACGGACTAGCTTTGAAGACAGCAGTGGCTACTGGTGGTGTGAGGGAAGAATAAGCTTATGTCGTGACCATGGTGACCGTGGTGTTCCCTCGCGTGAAATGTCATTAGGTGCGCAATCAGAATTGTCTTTTTTTTCTACCACCAGCACTTCGTGCTTTTTTTGGCTGGGAGAATACGAAACGTAAAGGTTGAAAGACAAACCCACAGAGTGAGAAAGACAATTCATGGCTAAGTACGTGTTGTATGTACCGGCACTGACCGAATCAACTGAAAGACATTGTGTTTGTCACTGTAGGTCCCCGTGGTCCCCGAGCAGTAATCAATGGGCAGGTGTTGGTCCTTCTCAAAGAACACTGCACACCTTCTATTGCTCCTCGTTGCTCTTGACTTGACTCTGTTGCTGCTCACTCCCCTTTTTGCTCTTGTTATCGCTTTACTTGCTCTCTGACTCTCTACTCTCTACTATTTCATATTACTGCTACACTACGTAAACCATGGCAACATCATCTCGGTGGATACCAAACTTTCCGTGAGTTTTTCGCTTGTCTCTTTCCCATTCAGGTCTTCTGTCTAAAGGACGCACGCGCAGAGAAGCAGATTAATCTGCTCCCATTGCCCTCGATTAATCTGCTCCCGTTGCCCTCGATCGCCCGTTCGACATCCGGAGGGTGCTGAATCCGACGGCGGGTTATGTCGGTGGTCAGCTGACGGGTCACTCATGTCATATATGTGAGATCAGTAATGGGAGCCATTACTGATGTGACCGTTTTGTCTTTCCCTTTGTTCTCAATTGCACTTCTACTACTTCTGGAGGAAATACACTATTGATGAAGTCAAGTTCGGCTTCTGTTTGGATAATAGTACATACAACTCTTACGAAGCTCGACTTTGATGGTGCTAGCTGGTCCTCGGAACGATTACATGCACCAACTATGACATGGGATTGCAGGCCACTGTACCGCCGTGCATGGCAAGAACTCGGCCGTTTCCTTGAGGGTATTTAAATATTATGGAATTGAGAAAACGGGGCGCCTTTCAGGTGCCTACATTGAATTTTTTTCGAGAAAAGCTAAATAAAAGCAAACTAATCAATCGAGGCGTTGTTTTCGTCGTTTCCGTCGCTGTTTGAGGATCAAACAAAGGTTTTAGGTGAACACGGGTATAGCCCTGATGACAGCGGCTGTACCCTGTAAGGAAGAATGAGATTCATGAGCGACGGTATGGGTAAAGGGTAAAATGATGAGTTTCGTAATGGTGATGATGAGGAGAAGTGAATGTTCAGGAGGTGGATGATTGTTGGGAAAAAAGTAGTGCCGTGAGTAGTACGGGGTGTGTCCTAATGTAAATCTTGAAAGACTCAGAAGCCCAACATGGCTTGGATGAGTTCGACCTGAACTCCCAGAGAAGCTAGCCACGTTGCTCCTCCAGAACGAAGGGAGTGACCAGCCACATTGTCAGAAAAATGTGAGCGTAACCTGCGGATGAACCAAGACCATGTTGGAACGGAGCCGTCTGAGCAAACCCATAAATGTGGTAGCCCAGGGAAACGGCTGTCGCGTTGACGAACATAATTTTGAGCAATTTTGACAGTATCATCTCTATCTGACGTAGCCTTGATTACGATTTGGTTTCCTTCGAATGCGCGATCTGCTTTATGTGTTGGCAGATTGAACTCGATATGATTGTCATTTGCAAGGAAAGACGACCGCATGATAACCTTTCGGAAATCCTGAAGGACATTCTTATCGGGGAAAACCAACTCTCCCAATCGCATGAGAGCAAAAAAACCAATGTATAACAATACCAAGAAAAGCTGATCGTCGAAAGACGGGGATGAATGAAGTTTGTCAAATACTTTAGTAAGTTCCGTGCACTGAAGCGGCCGTTTTCTGGAGGCAATGGAAATATGAATCTTCTTGCAACCTTGCAGTGTTCGCTTCACAATTGGATGCGGATGAGAAACTTCGAGCTGGTTACAGATTCCAGAGAGGTAGCTGGAGATGGATTTCGGTTTAATGAAGTGGCAGATGTAGACAACATAGAAAGATAAGGTGTCTGTTGTTGGATCAACAGGGAAATCATGAGTGCGACAAAAAGTCACGTAGGATTGAACAGCGGAGGTGTAAGAGGACACTGCCAAGCGCAATGTTACGCTCGTGCAGCAGGCATTCCTGGCTCCAGACTTCGCGAACTGGTTGTCTGGAGGAGGGAGGTGGTAAATTCATAAATGCTCTGCCCCCAACACAAGCCGTGGGGGTGTAAAATCATAGATTGTCATAGATGGTGCCAGGTACGAGATACGGGTGTAGTCAAAACGTGACAGGGCATCTGCAATGCCATTCTCCTCTCCAGAAATATGTGCAATGTGAAATTGGGCATCTGAGCGTATGGTGTGATCAACAGTAGTGAGCAAAAGAGGATTGTATAGCTGTTTTGCTTTCAGAGAGTAAAACATATTGACAGTGTTGGTGTTGTCCGTGAACACAAAAACTCGGAGGATAGAAGGAAGTTGAATAGCATAGAGGATGGCAGAGACAACAGTGAGTGCTTCAAAGTAGAAAATTGGTTTTCCGTCAGCATGATCATCCGGAATTGAGCATTGATAGCCCAACATGTTGCCGTCATGGCATAACCAGAATCCCATGCCTGTCAGACAAGCATCGCAGTACATGACGATGTCAGCCTCTTCAAAACCCCATTCTTCATTTTCAAGCATTCTTACACCACTCAGGACGTCTAGTTTCTCCACCAACCACAGCAACTCTCGCACTACAGCTTTGTTTGTCCAGATCTGCTGGTTAGATTCAGTCTTGCCAGCCATTTTCTCGTATAACGCAGAAAGGCCTGGACGAAGTAGAGGGTAAACATTTAAAGCCCAGTTAATCCAACCAGCAAGGTGTTGATATTCCTTGAGCGTCCAACGGTTTCCAACTCCTGCGAACTTCCGGATCGCCTGAATGAGGTCTAATCAAGCTTCTACAGTCATCGTGATGGTCATAGCGTTAGGATCCACATTAAAACCTAGAATCAAGAGTTCGGTGCCCCAGTTCTGCTTCGGTTTATCATGAGGCAGACTGATTTCATCCCAAAATTCCAGGAGTCTGGTCTGTCGTGAGGGGTAGAACTCGGCATAAGGTGTGTAATATGCTAAATTTCCTTCAAAATCCCAACCAAATGTATTGTCGACCCAGGCGAACAAATCGACAATGAATTTCACATAAATGGCCACCCACAACATCAATGCCATGAAACATCCAAACAAACCCCCTCTGTCTCGATTTCCGAAATTATTGCACTGATCAACATTGTATCCGTCCCCGAAACCAACCACTTGCTTTCTTTGCCAACGTGGATCCATAGGTAACCGATGATATGCAGCAGATACATCTGATTTGAACACCACTAACTTTACCGAGCACCTGTATACGCGGCGAACACGGATAAGAGTAGCACCCAAATCGTGTAGGTTGTCCATTTTGATCTTAACATCCTTACGACTGATAAGGGAGTTTAGGACAAAAGGTTTGGCACTGTGGTCTACAGCGAGACAAAATTTGTCTGTATCGGGTTTTGGGACAGCGACGACTGGAACACTTTGCATACCGGGTAGTAAGGAGTGGAACGTGGGTGAAAATCACTTTTCGTTGATCTCCTTATCTCGCTGTTCACAAGCAAAAGCGAATTGGTGAGGATCATATAGCTTGCGTGTCCAATCTAATACCAAAGGAGTCCCAGGTTTATCACTGGATGCTCGAGGCCAGAAACCTTGTCTGAAGCCTGTACACACAGATTCAACAAAATCTTGGTTCGGATGAGAGTTTAGGAGGGTTCGAAAGCAGTCAACATTAATGGGTGTAGTAATATTGAAAATATGGGGTTTTTTTTGAATTGTATCCAGTACGGTGTTGTTTAGGATTACATCTCTGGGTGGTCGAGATAGAGGAGCCATATAAACCGAGCTATCAGCCAGACAAATATTTTCTGTAGGGCATTCAAGATCATCCCACATTAGTGCATGGGCATAGTGAGGACATCTGGTCCAATGATCAGTTTGGGCAATTGGGACGGGTATGGTCATTCCGGTTACATTTTCCACAGACATGTTGGTACCCACAAGACTGAGCTGTGTTTGGGCACCGACCTTCATTGTACCTCTTGCAAGGTTCTCGTCTCCGAGACTTATTTTCTCGTTTTCCTGACTCTCGAATCTTAGAGGGAGGGGCTTGGATCCAATGCAAGAAAAGGTCCTGGAACTCACCAAAATTGGTGAGTTCATACTGTCGAGATTGAGAGACTCGATAATGGATGGCCTTGTCATAGTTGATGACTTTGTCGTGATCGAGTTCAGGAAGGGCTCCGAAGAGTCTAACAATATGCTCGCTGTATTTCTCAAGTTCATCTGCTCGATGGGGAAAGACAAATGTGAGGGCCTTGGAGTACTTGGCAAAGACAATCTGCCAATCTCCGGAGTTGCTAACCCTTTTTCCAGGGACTGGTGGCCCGAATTTGAACTCGACCTCACCGACCTTCTGGGTCTGGCGTTCATCAAGGGTAGTCACATGCATTGAGGAGAAGATGTGGTCGAAACGTGCTGGTTTTCCATTGACAATATCATCCCAGTCTTCAGTAAAGAAGACGGGACAATCAGGCTGGGACTGAATGGTGGATTGAGCATATTTTGGTTCTCGAGCGAGATTTGCAAGGATGAGTCAAGTCTTTTCAAGAGATTCGGAAAGGTTTGCTCTGTTTGAAGAAGATGCTCGGTTGAGCCAGGGTAGGACTGTTTCATCGATCTTTCAATGGGATGTAGCTTGTTGATCAATATCATCCTCCGATTCTTCTTCTTCCTCATCGACGGGCCACTTCCTAGTTGTTGCAACAATGCCGGACTCTCTGTTTCCTCCATGCTCAGCTGCTCTGCTGTTTCGGTTCTCAATGGAATCAAGGAGTTTGATATACAGTGAGAAGCTTTGTGTGAGGGCCTCTTGAGAGAGATTCGCTGCAGCAAGGAGGGCTTGGATCTTGAGCAAAGCTGTGACTTTGACTTTCTCGCCACGCTCGAATTTTCGTACGACTGACATACAACTTTGGGACAGTGAAGGTGGGTCGTCAATTCCTCCGAGTCGGTGAGCCGGAGATGGTCCTTCAGCAGGATCCTGCTGTTGTTGGTCTCCATTCTGGGATTGAGGTGGAGATTGTTCCTCTTGTTGCGAAGTCGTACCATTGTTATCAGTCATTTAAATTGAATAGAGTGATGTATTTTTATAATGGAAAAAATTGTACAAAAACGGCACTGAGAGTTGACTAGTCAGACAGGATTTGGTTATAATACATGCTCTACACACCTGAGAGTTCGACGTGTCAGGCAGAAAGTAGACTCGAGAAACTCTCAGGCACAATATATATGAGATTAGAAGACAAGAAAAAAGTGAGACAAATGATAAAAGGCTAAGATGCCGAGCACCTGAGTCAGAAAAGGGCAGATGGTCTGCAAGCGCGCGGAGCATACCTGACTGACTAGGGCCTCACCGACAGAAAGGAGAATGAGATTCTGAGGTGTGTGCAACGTACACTGACCATCGGTGAGAGGAGAGAGGAGAAGAGAAGCTTAAGTCTCTTACCTCGTTGATTAGACTTTTGTAAACAGCTTTTAAATTCAATTTACATAAACTATTTATGGGAGTGACTGAGTGAGACAAGAAAAAAGATCGTGACAGAGTGTCACGTTTTGGTATCCCGTGCCAGTCACAGAAAAATCAATACAATTCAACTCAGTGTTACATTTGGCCAAATAAGGCAAAACTACAACCATAAAAGGAAATTATATTTGTATGGAGTACCGTACATAAGGCTACATAAGGACGATACTTCCGTGAACTACAGCCTCGTAATTAGCGAAGAAATATGGCTCTGAAGCGGGCGTTATGTGGAGGCTATCGATGTGGACGTGATTCACCGACAGATTCACAACTCAGAGGTTGAGAGAGACAGGATGATGTTCCGTCGGTCCCCTAGACCCAAATCAAACCAAGAGTGATACGTGTTCATTAGATGCCCATCAATCTCATCAATCGAAGCAGAATAAAAACGTCTCGCCTGTCCCACTTTGCCTCCACTCAGAGCTGGTCTCATACACAAAATCAGCACAAAACCACTGGCCGGATTGTCCATTGTTTTCATCTCATTCGAACATGTTTCAACAAAGAACTCTACGACAATGGTTCACTATCGTTCTGTGCTTACAGCTGCCGTCACTGTCGGAGCTGCCTCCTCTACTCTTGCTGTTCCTTTGCCGCCTTCTGGTGACTTGAGCAGTATTCCCAACATTGCTGTTACTCAAGCCACCGCACCTCCCATTCCTGGGCTACTATCCACCTCTTCTGGTGACGGTTCGAAACTGAATGCCCGCGAATTAGACTCTATCTTCAATGATGGAATTCGGATACCTCATTGGGTGCGTCCGACTTTCGTTTCTGCTTTGCTATACCCGCTTATTGTTGATATTCTTGTAGCATCACCACCCTCACGCTCATGGAGATGAAGAGATCAAGGTTGAGGTGAAGGAGTTCTATGGCCACCGTCACAACAACGAGCAGGATGAGCAGGATGAGCAAAATGTTCCTCACCCCAATGTAAGATTCAATGATACATTGCCATTGCTATATGCCATGCTTATCGTTGATGCTCATTTTAGGCCCACCACCTTGAGCATGAGATCCAAGTACTTCCAATTCTGGTTCCTATTCCTGAGCATCACAAAGATCACGTTCGTATTCGCTTTGGCTTTCTTTCTGCATACAGTCATGTATCACCATTTGGGATGATGAAATTTCTTGGTCGAAAATAAGTACATCGCAATCTAAATAATGCAGTTACTCTAGGCTAGGCAGATACAAGGCTACCAGTACAAAGCTTTTATCAACTTGGTTTTGTTATCAGAGGAGGGACGTCAATGCCAGCCTTTAATCAGTACAGGAAGCTGTTATCAGTCGAAAATCACCATTTGGGATATGACAAATCACGCCGATAAGATACTCTGATAATCTGTTTTAGGCAATTGATCATGTGCTTTACTGTAATCAATCAATCAGACTCAACATTGCCTGTAGCATGTACTTCTCCACCAATGCTGAGTGTGCCCTGTGCTTTTGTCATTCTGAGTGAGCGCGACCAACCATTGTAAATGTGGTTCAAACTGAGATGACTATCGCAGCCCTGGCTGAAGGCCTGGTCGGGACTTCGAAATTGATATCTTATCATATCCGCTTTGGGAATGCGTGATGTGACAAGCTCTTTGTTGTTCGTTCTTTCTACCGGTCTCAAACATAGTTTCCTTGCTTCTACTTGAATCAAAGCTTGTGAACAGGTGTACTGATGTAAGAAGTACATTAGTGCAAAGTTACAGCAGCTTTCTGTTGCAATTACTGACACAGTGACCCAAACAAATTTCATTCCATCCCAAATTAACACTTCTTTTCGATATCCTGACAGCAATACTTTAGGTCTCTCTTCCAAATTTGACAGTGGGTGACCTCCCATCGCCATCTAGAATCCTAAATTATTACTAGATATATCAAATACGGAGTGTGAAAAAAATTTAGGAAGATCTAGAATAATCATCCCAAACCATGGGCCAAATTTGTCTTAGATTAGATTTAGCTTTCATCAGACCTTATGGATGACAATGATGATATTGAAGCTCTCATATGTATGCTCATGCAGGATGAGCAGGCTTCATATCAGGCTGAAGAAGACATTCGACATATAGCCACACTCGGGTCTGCTTATATCTACTATGGCGCTCTTGAGTCTCGCAGATTACGCGCAGAACGCCGGGCTCTTACCCGCCTGTATCTAACTCGTCCACAACTGATTCCTGATCCTCGTGGAATGACTCCCTGGCAAGTCCTCTACAGAAGTCACAGTGATCGTGCTTTCATCACTACAATGGGATTCAATGTTGCTTCCTTCAATAAATTGCTGGAAAGTGGTTTTGAGGAGCAATGGATTTCCCAAGTTATTCCCCGGCGTGATGTTGCATGCTCCTCCACTCCTCGAGTTTATCGACGATCTCTAGATGCCGCAGGTGCTTTAGGCCTTGTACTCCATTATTTGAACTCCACTATACTTGAAACCAGCCTCATGGAAATTTTCGCTCTTATTCCAACCACTGTCTCCCGATACATATCATTTGCACTCGAAATCTTGCGGAATCTTCTACATTCCATGCCCGATGCTTCCATCCGCTGGCCTAAAGATCATGAGTTCATTCAGAATGAGACTCTGATCCTAGCTCACCATCCACTTCTTGTGGGTGCATTTGGGAGTTTGGATGGCTTAAAACTTCCGGTTCAAACCTCTTCAGATGATGATGTTGAGAACGAGACTTACAATGGATGGTTACACGAGCACTTCATCAGTAATGTCATTGCGTTCTCTCCAACAGGTATGGTTTCAGGATATGTGCAGAATGAAATCAAACTTGACATTTGTTCTAGGAGAAATCATTGGTTGTCGTCTGAATGCGCCCGGAAGTTGGCATGATTCTCGTGTTGCACAACCGATTTATCGAAATCTTCTCAGATCTACACCTGATGAGTTCTATCTAGTTACTGATACTGCATTTCCCCGAGGCACATCACAGATAGAGGGTCGTATACGTGCCCCAATCAAGGAAGGAACACATCTTCCAGCAGATCAGGTCAAACGTGAGGCCCTGCTTGCATACAATAATCAAGCACTATCATTTCGTCAAACATTGGAGTGGGGTATGCGCTTAATCCAAGGAAGTTTTGGCAGGTTACGTGTCCCTCTAGATGTGAATGATGAGAATCGACGTGGAGACCTACTTGAAGTTTGCTTGCGGTTATGCAATTATCGCACACGCACAGTGGGTCATAACCAAATTCAGACTGTATATATGAGTATTTGGAAAGAGGGCAATGTTCAGGAGAAGATTTGGAGGGACTTCGAACACATTGTATTTGGTGAACAAGGTCGAAATGACCGAGTCCGTAGGTTTCATATGGAAAGTATTAATAATGTAGGTAATATTTAGCATGTATCAGAAGGAATGAATATTGGGTATTAAAAGCTTTCACGGTTGGGTTGAGAAGGTTTGTCGCAGTCACCTTGGGATGCTTCAAATGTCTGGAAAGAACCTTTACGGTGATGCAAGCGATGAGGAGTAATGGAAACAGATACCGAAGCTTTGTGGCCAGAGGATCCAGCCACAGAGCTTGGAGAGACTGTCAAATCGAGTCTTGAGCTTTCATTTTGATGCCGAGCTATTCAAAAATCAAAATATCAACCTAGGATCAAAAAAAGAATGAAATACAAGCTTACAAGGTGTACGAGGAGGGCGAATTGATGTAGGAGAGCGCATCTGAACATCAGAATAAAACACGCAAGCCCCAGGTTCAAGATTTTCTCGGTTATAGTCCTCATACCTGCCTGGACTCGAAATGTCTTCATCTACATTGAACCAACGAGAAGAGCGTCCTCCTTCAGGATAATGTATTTCCTGCCTCACCCAACGCTCAGGTTCAGTGGCTGGTTCATGGTTATGTACACGAGCATGGGGAGGAACAGGGTATCCATGAGATGGAGGGCGAAAACTACGAGCAGGAGCTATGGGAGTCTGCATGACAGCAGACATCATCTCCAAACGATCAGCACGCATCTCAGCACGGTTGGCGCGCCGTTCAGCCTGCATGAGATCCCTCTGTGATTCATCCAGACGTTGGCGGAGATTTTCGGTTGTGCGTTGAAGTTCTCGGAGCTGGCTAGACATGGTCAGCATGCTGGTGGCTTGTAGAGTACGGGATGACTGCTCCTCGGCCCTTGCTGTCTGCGCAACAGGGTCCAAAGCTGCCGAAAGAGTATCTACAAAGTCTCTGCTGCTAGTTACTGATGTCTGTTGTCCAGTGGCTTGCCTACGAGCGACTGGTCCAGTAGCAGTGGACTGCTTCTTGACAGTTGCCTGTGATAAGAAGGAACCTATTAGTCATATACAAATAGTGTAAAATCGATTATTACCTTTGATTTTTTCCGCGTTGGTGCATTCTCCTTATCTGACTCTGAGTCGGAATCATTATCATCGAAATCACCTATATCCGAGTCGTCAAGATCGCGTGTTCCTGCCTTGTCATTCATCATTTCTTCAATCTCGAGAGCATCCTCCACATTCCGAGGCAGCTCCGCATCTCCAGTGGGTTTAGTGGTCTTTACCAGCTGTTGGCGTATCAATATTAACATTGATGGACAAAAAAAAACAGGGCCTTACCTGCTTGTATTTGAGTTCAAGAGATTTTGCTAAACGAGTGGGCCGTCCTTGCTGCTCTGCTTGTTCATTAAACTCGTCAGCACAACGGGACCAAGCTCGTTGGCCAAGAGGAAGGTTGCGCCGAAGAATTTCGAACAGGATACCAAGATCCTCATCTGTATAGTTTGAAGAACCACTGGTACGTCCCTTCTGAGAACCGCGCTTGCGTTTCCGAGAAGTAGTGTCATCGTCATCTACATCTGGAGTAGCCTTTGCTTTGCCTTTACCTTTGGAGACAGAATGACGAGTGCCACTGTCATAAAGTACGCAGCCCCTATCATTTTCCTTTTCTCACCGTCTCGACGCCTTTACTTGTACGATACATCATCCCATCACTGTCAAACCCCCATCGATTACTGATCCATCGATTACTGATCCACCTGACCCATCTTCTCCTTCTACTGGCTTCCGCCACCTTCCTTGTTCCTAAACTGTACAGTATTACATCGTTGTTTCTCGCAGACCGGATTATGTATATATAGCCAACCCTCCACAGCCTGGTCCCTTATCTTGACCTCTCTGTCATTATCTGGGACCAGGTATGTGCTTACTTATTATTACCTATGACTACGATACTCAATATATCTCTGTCATTATCTGGGACCAGCCTGCCGCCGTTCTGCTCAGTCGCTCCGCCTTGTTGCCTTATCCAGTTGCTCCGCCTCGCCGTTCTGCTTAGTCGCTCCGCTTTCCCGCTCCGTTAGTCACTCCGCCTCTGCCGCTTCGTGACATTAGGTCAAGATCCATTACTGCACTGACAGCCTACCGATAAGGTTGTCCTTGCAGGGTCTATAGACACCACGTCTTCCCCAGTTCCGCCCGACTCTGAAACACCTGTTGCCAGTATAGACTGCTCCGCACTCCCGCACGCACTTGACCCCAGAGACCAAGCTCACGCCCATAACAACGACGATACTTGGCGCGATTGCCAGTCTCAACCTTGCCCCAACGCCCTTTCGAACTCAATCCGAGAGCCACTCACTGTGAGCAATATAACCTTCCTGCCGATTCCCCAGCCCCGATTGCCTACTCCCATCATGTCGACTCCTATCCCGCCTGCCCCAAACACCTCTGCGGAGGATCTCATGGCTCAGCTCATCAGACAAGTAGCTAACCTTGCTACAGCTATGGAGGAACGCTCATCCTCTAAGTCAAGCATGAACAAACCCGAGGTTTTCAAGGGTAAAGATGGCGCTGAAGCCCGTCGCTTCATGGCTCAGTTCCAGAATTGGGCGTCAGAACAACCGGATCTCGCCAAAAGCCAAGTAAAACTCATCAAGTCCGCCTTGGGTTTCTTCACAGAAAGTGCCGGAGATTGGGCAACTCCCCATCTGCTACATTTCAATGCCGAAAATCCCCCTTTCGGAGGAAATTGGGAGGCGTTTCTGAAGGAATTTAGCCAACGGTTTGAACCAATGGACCCAGGTATGGAAGCCCGTAGCGAGATCAAGAATCTCAGGCAAAGTAAAGGACAGACAGTTGCGGAATTTGCTCAGAAGTTCAAGGATATCGGAGATCGGACTGAAATGTCTGATATTGACTTGCGGGAACGTTTCTTCACTGCATTACTCCCAGAGATCCGACAACACCTCATCACCGTAAACATTGCCCAAGGAATTGCTCCGACTCTGAAGGAGGCAATCAAACGGGCCATATCGGTGGATGTCTACCTGCACGATCCCACCATGACTGGCCGGAACTCTGGATACCCTCCCACGCATACCGCTCATACTACCCCTGCTGACCCCCACGCTATGGACATTGACGCAACCCACACCAGTAATGGGAATACTAGGGAAGCATTCCTAGCTCGCATGCGAGGACGATGCTTCGGCTGCGGTGCCCAAGGTCATGTCAAGCAAAACTGCCCACACCGAGAAACCACCTGCCGCTACTGTGGACGTCGAGGACATCTGGAAGCAGTCTGCCAAGACAAATTCATGGGACTCGGACGAGACCGAGGCCGACGCCAGCAACCTCGACGCCAACAGATATCCGCTACGGGACCCGCGCCATTCTCCCTATTCCCAAACGAATCCGTCCAAATCGCATCCTCGAACCCAACATCTGCTCCTGCACCCGTAGCTGCTACTCCGAGCCCCCCTAACCAGGACTTTTCCAATCAGATTGGTCAAATAAGGGAATTACTGGATCGTGCTAACGCTATGTCCTCCTCGTCCTCTGGCTTTCAACAGGGTTTTTAAAGAGGGTACCCGCTTCGGCTGCACCGAGAGTACCCCGTAATCAGTTTGTTATGTTCGCTACTTCCTCGTATGACTCGCACCCATCATGTACAATATCGTCGATCCGGGAATTAAACTCTACTTCCCCACATTTCCGAATTCATGCGAGACTAAGAGGAAGGAATCACAGTATAACAACTGCAGCCATGGTAGACTGTGGAGCTACCGCCCTGTTTTTAAACCAAGACTTTGTCACCCGGAACCATGTAAGATGTGCACCCCTCCATAAACCGATCGACGTTTTTAATATCGATGGAACACCTAACCGAGCTGGACGGATAACCCATTTTGCACGTCTAGCACTCACAGTGGATAATCAAGAGCGATGGATGGACTTTCTGATCACCAACCTAGGAGGTGAAGACATCATCCTTGGACTCCCCTGGCTACGGAAGGTAAATCCGGAGATTGATTGGGAGAAAGGACGACTTTCAGTAAAGCCTCCTCGAGTAACGATAGAAGAAGTCCCAGACGAGGAGATCTTGTACTCTCATCTAGCCGCCACTCACACAGAAACCCCGATCCTCGAACTCCCGGAACTGGAACCTCCCGCAGAAAACCCCCACATTGAGGTGCCACTAGAAGCGACCCTTGAACCGAGTGAATCAGCAGCGGTGGAAGAACCACCAATACACCGAATTCGAGCCAATCATAAAACTCGCCGGGCATGGGTAAAAGCAGGAATTCTAGAGGAACAGACGGAGGAAGTCTGGTGCGCCGCAGGATTCACTTACTCCCAGCAGCTAGCAGAGGAAGCCAACCGAGATAAACCCGTTAAAACCTTCGAAGAAATGGTCCCTGAGCAGTATCGTGATTTCAAGAAGGTTTTCTCAGAATCCGCCTCCGAACGATTACCTGCCCACCAACCTTGGGACCATGCGATTGATCTCGTACCTGGAGCACCGGCAACCATGCGTACCAAGATTTATCCCATGTCCCTAAACGAGCAGGAGGAGTTGGATCGTTTCCTAGAAGAAAACCTACGGAAAGGCTATATCGTCCCCTCAAAATCACCAATCTCATCACCGGTCTTCTTCGTAAAGAAGAAGGATGGGAAACTCCGTTTCGTACAAGACTACCGGAAACTGAATGAGTACACTGTGAAGAACCGATACCCTCTCCCATTAGTTGCTGACATCATTAGCCGACTTCAGGGAGCAAGATACTTCACGAAGTTTGATGTCCGCTGGGGTTACAATAACATACGGATTAAGAAGGGGCATGAATGGAAAGGCGCGTTTGCAACAACCCGAGGCTTGTTCGAGCCTAAGGTCATGTTCTTTGGTCTCACAAATTCCCCTGCCACGTTCCAAGCACTTATGAATGCTATATTTGCTGATCTCATTGCAGCCGGCAAGGTAGCAGTCTACCTAGATGACATCCTTATCTTCAGTAACGATCTCGAGGAACACCGACGAATGGTACGGGAAGTATTAACTCGGTTAGAAAAGCACGACCTCTACCTACGACCCGAAAAATGCGAATTTGAACAACAACAGATTGAATACCTCGGACTCATCATCTCAGAAGGGGAGGTGAGAATGGATCCGGTAAAAGTAGCGGCTGTTCGTGACTGGCCAGTCCCTACTAACCTTCGGGAACTACGAGGATTCTTGGGATTTGCAAACTTCTACCGACGCTTTATCCGGAATTTTGCCAAAATAGCACGACCTCTGAACGACCTGACGAAGAAAGACACCAGCTTTACCTGGACCGACACTCGACAGAAAGCATTTGATACCCTTCGAGAAGCCTTCATCTCCGCACCGATCCTTGCTCTATGGACACCAAACAGGCCTACTCGAATCGAGGTAGACGCATCGGGCTTTGCCACAGGAGGCGCCCTTATGCAGAAGCAAGACGACGGCCAATGGCATCCGGTAGCCTTCAGGTCGGCATCCATGCAGCCAGCGGAACGGAACTACGAAATCTACGATCGAGAAATGCTTGCTATCATTGAAGCACTGAAGGATTGGAGGAACTTTCTAGAAGGACTCCCTCAACCATTCGACATCATTACGGACCATTCGAACCTCGAATTCTGGCGCACTGCACAAGACCTCACCCGCCGACAAGCCCGATGGGCCCTCTATCTGTCACGGTTTGACTTTCATATGATCCACCGTCCTGGCAGAGTAAACACCCAAGCTGATGCTCTCTCCCGCATGGCAGTTCATCATGTATCGGACAGCGATGATAACCGGCAACAGACAGTCCTTAAACCTGGCCATTTCGTAAAAATTGCAGCTTCGATCCTACAGAACCCCTTAGAGGATCGTATCCGGAAAGCCTCAGAACGGGAAGCACAGGTATTGGAGGGTCTCAAAACAGTCAAAGAGCACGGACTACAGCGCTTGGCCAATGGGATAGCCGAATGGGAAGAGGACAATGGGTTGGTCTACTACCGAGGTCGAGTATACGTACCAGCAAACGACGACCTACGCACTGAGGTACTCCGTCAATGCCACGACCATCCAACTGCAGGACACCCCGGACTACACGGGACACTCGACTTGGTCAGTACCCATTTCTGGTGGCCTACGTTGCGCTCTTTTGTGGAAAAATACGTTGAGGGATGCGAGGTTTGTGCCCGTAAGAAGATCCAGCGACACCCACGGGCTGTAACTCAACCATTAGATGTACCATCCGGTCTATGGGAAGAGGTAGGGGTTGACCTGATAACACAGCTACCTAACTCCCAAGGCTACGATGCTGTCTTGGTTTGCACAGACCTGTATGGAAAACAAATTCACGCTATTCCTTGCACCAGCTCCATCACAGCCGAAGGTGTTGCCGATATTTACTATCGAGAGATCTTCCGTCTCCACGGTCTTCCTCTTCACTTTAAATCCGACCGCGGACCCCAGTTTGCAGCTAAACTCATGCGATCCCTTCTCGCTAGGCTAGGAATTAAATCAGATCTAACCTCCGGATACCGTCCTCAGTCTAATGGCCAAACCGAACGAGCAAATCAGGAAGTAGAGAAATACATCCGCCTCTATGTAGGACGACGACAAGACGACTGGGCAGAGCACCTTCCCATGGCGGAGTTTGTGATTAACTCACGAACTCATTCTGCTCTAGGCATGTCCCCGTTCGAGCTAACCTACGGCTACCTTCCCCTGTTCAATATCCCAGTGGGCCAACGCAGCGGTATTCCAGCTGTAGATGACCGTATACGGATTCTCCGAGAAGTGCGACAAGATGCCGGGGCTGCCTTACACCTAGGAAAGAAACAACAGAAGGAGGGATACGAACGCGGGAAGCGGAAAGCTCATCAATTTAAAGTTGGAGACCTAGTCTGGCTCAGTGCGGAGGACATTAACCTTCAGCTTTCCAGTGAAAAGTTAGGAGATCGACAGCTTGGCCCTTATCGCATTCTGGAGAAAATTGGCCCTTTAGACTACCGCCTTGACCTTCCCCTATCCCTAGATCGCCTCCATCCCGTCTTCCATGTTGATAAACTATACCCCTGGAAAGGTAACTCCATTAATGGCGAAATACCAACACCACCAGAGCCGGTATACTTAGAGGATGAAGACGAACCGGAATACGAAGTAGAGGAGATCTTAGACAGCCGGGTTCGATGGAAGAAGTTGGAATATTTGGTTAAGTGGAAAGGTTACGATGCAGGGCACAACTCTTGGGAACCCGCAGCC